TAACACTCGTTCAAAAAGTTAAGGCATCGTTACTTTAATTCTTTTAATAGATTCTTCATTCATTCTTTTAAAAAATAAAATATTTTCATAATAATCTTTTAAAAATGTACTATTTATAAATTTTTGCGTTTAAAGATGCAAACTGATAGTCAAATTCACCCACGACTAATGTGAGAAATAAGGATAAATTCAATAACAAAATTATATTTTTAAGAGACTAATTAAAATATTATTAAATTAAATGTAATATGACACATGTAATGTGAACATTTATCAAGAAAACTAGTTCAATTGATTGAATAAGTATGTGTGTTGTTATGATTTTTTATTTATTTATAAAAATCAAACCTGGTATTAAATTGGACATTTCACGCATTCAACTAACTTAATTAGATCCCTTTCTTTGTTATAAACTAATTACTATTGAGTTTGATTATATAAATAAAATAATATATTTATTACCAAAATAAGTACAAGTAGTTAAATGTCAAATTATCTAGTGTTATCATTCAATAATTATCACACACGTAACCTAAAATGAAAAGAGAGGGGGGAAAAAAAGCTATCACTCACAAAACCTACACAATTTGGCTTTGGGTTGAATCACCTCTAAGCCCATGCATTAAACCAATTGTTCTCCATTTTTTGTTGTTGTTATGGGCCTTTCCATTTATCAGATCCATATGGGAAGAGACTGTGAAACTGGAAAGAGAATAAAACAATTGGGTTGGGCTTTGAGCCTTTGGGCTCTAAAACTGGCTTCAGAGAAATATACCCATTGGGCTTCTACGTCCATTTTTCAGGTTGAACTCCGAAAGTCCTTCTCCAGGCCCAAAACAACGGAACACAAAAAGTGTCTTCATCTCCCAGAAAAGGTTTCTTATTAGAAACTAAAACGATCGAGGGCAGGTAAATTAAGATTCTATGCGCTTTGCATTCGAAGACAAATTACAAATTAGCTTAGCTATAAACATTACTTACCACTCTCTCCCAAACAGAACCACCAAAATTCCTACCAACTTAAATTTCACATGGAGTGTAACCCAAACGGATTTGAAAGAAATAACCAGTCTAACTAAATCGAATTTTATCAAGAGTTTGAACTAATTTGGATAGAGTTAATTTTTGAAACAGCCCCAACAGATTTACTTGATTCACGATACATTTATATTGAGTAAATGAGTTTGGCTTTCTTTTTATTTTAAATGTTTTATATAAAAAAATTTATTCACTTAAATATATTTTTAATCCATGTAATTTATAAGATGAACAAGTTTTTATTTTGATTTCTATATTTTTTTATTATATATTTTTCATCTTTTTAAAATCTGTAAATATTATTTTTGATCCCTACAAAATAATTAAATTTTAATTTTATTTCATGTAAAATATTTTTATTTGATTTTCATTCTTCTAAAATTCAAAGTTGGTATTTTATTTTCAATTCTTAATGATCATTTTAAATATATATATATATATATATATATATATATATATATATATGTGTGTGTGTGTATAACACATATTTTAAGAATTTAAAAATAATCTAGAAGTGACACACATAAATAAAATATCAGAAATAATTGTGAATACCGTTTGGGATAGTCACACAATCTTATGATAAATACACAAGTAATTAAAAAGAGTCACATAATAATAAGAATTAAATTAATAGTTTAAAATTTTGTAGGATAAAAAAAATTATATAGACTAAAATTAAAACATGATCATTTTACAAACACTATAAACATATTTAAGCAAAACTCATTTTTTCTTAAATTTATAACAAAAATCATTACTTATAAATATGATACACTTAAATTTAAAACCAAGCAAACTTATGGATGGTATAGTTAATAATTTGAGTGAAATCGAACTTCTATTTTTTTTTTCATACTTCTACAACCTCTTAACACTAAAAAAAAACATTATGATTGAAAAGACAAATCTATTTAAAAGGTGGTGAATTAGTTTTTTTTTTTAAAAGATAATTTGTTGATAAAGTTAATCAATATTTTATACCAATAACACGTTAAAAAAAGTTTTTTTTTAACTAAAACCTTTACTTTATATGAATTTAACAAAAAGCTCTTATTACAAATTTTAACTCATTACGCAATGTTTGTTTTTATTTCTTACATATTACACAAAGTCTCTTATGTTTTATAAATATATTACGATTAAATTTCTCTACCGTAGTGGAATTTTGAAATTATAAAGCCCTCAAATAATAAAAATAATAAGAATATAAAAATAATGTACTAAAAGTTTATATTTTGAATTAAATAATTTTATATAATTATTTTTACTCTGTTTTTATTCATTCAATTAAAGAGAGAGAGAAATGATGTACTTCTTTCAATCTATTCAAATAATATAAATTGTTTATTTATATTTCATTTCTTTTTATTTGTTTATTTCTATCCGAGTCCAAAGAAAACAAAAAGTTGAAAACTAAAGTGGACAAAATCAACTCTGGTAGGCGCTTGTGGCTGCAGTGAGAGATACTTGGCATTTGCAAGGCAACAACAACAACAACACAGACCATGTGGTTTCCCATGGAAAACGAAAGGTCAAATGACTCGAACTTAATGGTCAATGCTTGAACCCTTTACGTTTGCACATTTCTCAATCTTTAGTATCATATAATCTAAGACGGATTCTAGCTTTTCTAATCATCTTCACAAATCACAATGCCACTTCCCAAGCTTTGCTTTCTCCTTTTTTCCTTTCTTTCCCTTGCATCAACCCAAGTTAGAGCAGCCACCTCTAACTCAAACTTGTTCCGAGAATACATAGGAGCTCAGTTCAAAGGTGTCACATTTTCAGATGTGCCCATAAACCAAAACGTAAAGTTCCACTTCATTTTGTCCTTCGCCATCGACTATGACACGTCATCGGGTACCCCTTCTCCCACAAACGGAAAATTCAACATCTTTTGGGACACCCAAAATCTCTCCCCTTCCCAAGTCTCTTCCATCAAGACCAACAACCCAAATGTTAAGGTAGCACTTAGTCTCGGAGGAGACACTGTTTCAGACACTTCCGCTTACTTCGATCCATCTTCAATTGATTCTTGGGTTTCCAACGCCGTTTCTTCACTCACCACCATCATAAAAGATTACAATTTGGACGGAATCGACATAGACTACGAGCATTTCAAGGGAGACCCCAACACTTTCGCTGAGAGCATTGGAAGACTCATTCAAACTCTCAAAAGCAACGGGCTCATCTCTTTTGCTTCCATTGCTCCTTTTGATAGTGATCAAGTTCAAACTCATTACTTGGCCTTGTGGAAGAGTTACGGGCATGTCATAGATTACGTTAATTTTCAGTTTTATGCTTATGACAAAAGCACCACCGTCTCTCAATTCATCGATTACTTCAACAAACAAACCTCAAATTATAATGGTGGGAATGTCTTGGTAAGTTTCAATAGTGATGGAAGTCGTGGGTTGACCCCTGATAGTGGATTCTTCACAGCGTGTAGTATGCTCAAGAGTCAGCAAAAACTTTATGGTATATTTGTTTGGTCTGCGGATGATTCCAAGGCAAATGGTTTCACCTATGAGAAGCAATCACAAGAACTTTTGGCAAGTCCGAATTAGATTTTAAACTTGATATGCTTTAGATAAATTTTAATGTGTTAGTGTGTTCCATTTCCATGACAATTACATTCAAAGTAATAATGTTTGCGTGTATAACGATGTATACATAAGTCTTTATCATTTGTTCTCTTAAAAATTCTGAGAAGTTATTAAATGATATTGGATCACATAATTTTTAATTAGTCTTCATATAATATGTAAGTAAATATAATTATTGTTTTTTAATAAATTACCTAATAATTTTTCCTCGAATATTCAAACCCTAAACTAATAATATCTTCTTTGATAGAGTAAAACGTGTTGTTTGAGTTAGACCATGGCCCAAAAACAAAATAAATAAATAACAAGAAGAAGCGTTACTGTGGATAAATTTCGTTTGGGACGCAACTCCATTTTCTTTTCCGAGTGGGCCAACGCTAGGAAAAGCTGTGGTTGCCAATAAAGAAATATAGTGAACTTGTGAAGGTTGAATTAGATTAGTGGTACGAAGAAGAACCTTAGCCTTATCTCAAACAACGATGTCAATTCTGTCAAAATTGTTATTTTAATGTAGTGTTTTCATTATCAAAGCAATTAAGAAAACATTTAATTTTGAACTCTCTGATTTGTGAGGAGCGGATTTAATCTAGAAGAACACATTAGACGACAAGTGCATTCTTTGCCAAAGCAGCGATATGACTATTACATATAAAATTGGCTTTTTTTTTATAATAACCTAGTTCTTGTAGCAAAACAAATGAAGAAAATGAATGAACTGTTAAACTTACATAAAATGAATTAAAAACTTTAATTAAGTTCTTTACCCAACAATTAGAAAAAGAAAATTTAAATCCTACGTAATATTTAAAATAGTAAATTTGAGTTTAACTCAACCTTATAAAACCAACTTATAAGGTGAAGATTATTTTTCACTTATTGTTTATGGTGGAATTAGTTTACGGATTGTTTTCATTCGAACTAGCACGGGCCAACGTTTCAATTTAGGTATCTTATGTTGTGAATGTTACGAAACGGGAATAGAAGGAACAAAAAGATTAATAGTTACTTGTTTCTAAAGATTCTTCAATAATTAACAAACAATAATTTTCATATACATAAATGCTAAGATGAACAGAATGAATAATGAAGATACTTGCAATACAAATCATGGTTCAAATTGTATAATGTTCCAGAGTTACAATGCCAAAGCGCTATAACTACGTAATTAAAAGAAATAAAACGAGAGAACTACACTAATTCTACTCCTATAAAACAAAAAGGAAAGTGGCCGAGAATTAGTCATACTCAAAAACGATTCCTTGCACGAAAGTCATATGCGCAGGCAGAGAGTGCTTCAGATTCTAGTCTTAATATGAGTTTTTTGACCTTTGTAAATGACTACCTTTCACATATTTATAGCACCATTCAAGAGCAGTTAACTTCATGCATGTGTCATTATGGGGAATAACTGCTATCCACTATGCTTGTAACGTGGGTTTGGGGTATAACTTCTCAACCGCTCTCCCACGTGTTTTGTTTTCTCGATCTGGACTTTGATAACTACCCTGGTGCAACCATAACAACTTCGGGCAACTTCCCTAATTTTTGAGCATACGTTGTTCGACTCGAAACAATTCTTTTCGACCTCCAACATCTATTACTGGTAGGCGTTAACTTCATAATATTCTTTAGAGAAATCTCATGCACTTTTCCGAGTAGGAGTTTTCGAGTGGCCCTAACACTTATATATTAAGTAATTGTCTAATCTTTAGTTGACGTGAAATTTAGATTTTTTCCAATACACCCCTTCACATCCAATACTATTAAGCTTGGTATGTGGATAAATGGTGGGTGACCATTTTTAATGATCTTGAATTGGTGGAACTGGAGTTTTTTTTCAATATACCTCCTCATACCCATGGTGCATGTATCAATGGTGGGTGATTCATTTAGAGTGAATCTAGATAACTCTAATACTATCTTAAAATAGTGAATTTAAGTTTAACTCAACCCTACAAATTCGACTTATAAGATGTGAGTTATTTTTCATTTATATACTATTTAATTGTTTAATCTTTCATCGATATAGAACTTAGATTTTTGCCGATAATGTCGAAAGCTCATTAAAAATACATTAGGAATATAAAATGATTTCCATTATTGATGATGGCTTTTATCCTCGTCAATCTCTCCTCCGGTAATAGCTTGAGAGACCTGAGAGACGCGACGCGATCATTTGTACGTTTGCATTTTGCAGGCTTCCTCTTAATAGGCTAAAATCCTCACATTCTTGGGATATGTGGTTTTATTTAGTACATTCTTTATTTGGGCTCTGTGACCCATTTCCTTACCTGACATTGGTTACTTGATTTGGGCTCCAGTCCAACATCTTCTGGTAACTGTAGCTGATTGCTTCATTTGCAAGTCTAGTTCTTCTTCACGGACTCGGGGTACTCTAAATTTCGGAAAATTAATTTATTAAGCTTTTGTTCTACGGAATGATATAGTAATATTTTTGAAATTTATATTCTTAAGAATAATACAATCAGGAATATTATTTTTGAAAATATTTTTAAAAAATTGTTTAGTTTATTTTAATATTTCTAAAATTTAAAATAATTTAAATAAAAATAAAATTATAGGTGTTACGTAGAATAACTTCCTATATTGTTATAAGAATATCACTGTTCTATATTTTTATAAGAATATCATTGTTCTATCCTTTCACTATGAGAATAAAACTCTCTTAATAATTAAAAATGCAACTTTAAAAAATTGAAATCTTGTTTCATGACCTTCAAATAAACATTTCCACCATCATATTCTTGGAAAAAGATAACATGAAATAAATACTCTCGGTATACACATAACATTGGCTTCTTGGCAGAATAGTCTTGAGAATGACATGTCTGTTAAGTTTTACTATATTTTTTGCAACCAGTGAGAAGACATTAGCCATATTTTTCTACAATCGTTTAAATTCGTTGATTTGAGAGTCTTCGAACCAAAACTCCTCTCTTCAATTCATTGGATTAAAACTCTCCTCAATGCTCATTAATTCATGGCGGGGAGAAAATGAAGCAGCTATTCAAAAACTATTTCCCAAACTCTGCTCAATTCATGTGTCATGTGTGACTTCAATTATTAAACTGTTATATAATCACTGTCATTATGCATATAAAAAATGCGTGTCTGTTCAATAAAATGTTTTAACTTATTTATAAAATAATTAGTAACAAAATTTTAATTTTATTATAATAAATATTTTATTTAGGTTGTTACTTGCAATACACAATATAAGACTTTTAATTAGAACATGCTGAAAATGTCCAATTTTTTAAAACTGTTATGTAATGATGAATTAATAAGATTAATACAAATGATAACTTTTTAATATTAATTTCATTAAAATTTATATTTTTGATAATTTCTAATTAATTGACGATATCAATACTCCAATAAAAAACTTTTCTTATATATATGGTGGCATATATACAATGAAAAAAAAAATAGAGAAAGACGTTAACAAGATTAGTTATTGTATTAATAAGTCACTTAATTTAAATTAAAAGGATTGAAAAATAGAATCCGAACAAGTCAATTGCCTTCTATTTGTTTCATAAGAAGAAAAACGAGCGAGAAGAAAGAACATATATATATAAACCTTAACATGAACCTCTTTGATGTTCTCTAGCGTTATTTTTGTAATTGGTATAGTTGATGCGAAGTTGAGCCATACAGACGAAGAAGACATATATATATAAAAATCGAAATGAGCTATATATATAATTTAGATAATGAAACAAAGGAGGGGGGAAATGGGGAATAATCATTAATTATAATTAGAAAGAAATAGTTTATTATTGTAGTAATAATCTATAACATATTAAAAGAAAAAGAATAGGATTAATAATTATATATGAAGGGTTGAAGTGATGGTGATATTATTATATGATATTGTGAGTATATAGTAGATATGCAGATGCATGAATTAGCTAGGCTAGGTAGAGGGGGGTTGCGAATAGTAATTATGGTAATGAATGGAAATGCCAGGGGCTCGTTTCTTCTTGAGAATGTCGATTCCAGCAAGGAAGAAGACGATGGGGGACAAGGTGGCCCAGTCCTCGTTCTCAGCGCTGTAGCCAGCAAAGAGCTTCTTCCTCGGATAAACATCCTTGGCGAGATGATTGTAGCGCTGAACCAACGTGGTGGGGTCGTAGACTGGGCCAACCTCGTTCTGGAACTGGTAGTCAACCCAGTCAACGTAAAGCGAGACGTCGTTGTAGAGCGTGGAGTAGAACTCGTGGTCGAGAGCGGAGGAGGGAGAAATGGAAGCTAGCGTCACCAGCCGCTGCTCCTTCAGGTTCCTTATCAGCTGTCCCACGCACTTGATAAAGTCACCGGGGGAGGCATCGATGTGCTCGTACAGCACGTCGATGCCGTCGACTTGGAGGCTTTGGATGATGGGGGTGAGGGAGGCGGTGGCGTTGGAGGCCCATGTTTTGGTGTCCAGGGGCTTGAAGGGGTAGATTGGGCCGCGGTTACCTATGGAGATGAACACTTTCACTTCCACGTCCTTGTGCTGCTGCTTGAAGTGCATGATGGAGTCCAGGCTCACCTTCGTCTGGTCCCAGGTGGGCCTGAAGACCCCATTAGTGGGGGCGTCTTTCTCGTCGTAATCGGTCGCGAAGGTCAGCGCGATTTGGTATTGCTTTAGAATTTTTCCCGACACGAACACTTGCTCGAACGAGTCGTCGTAGGTGTATTGACGGAAGATCGACAACATTGTCGACATTTTGTTTTCGATTCTTGTGTGGGAAATTGGGTACCCCAACCTACGCTTATATATACTTGAGTTGTGTGCGCTGTGCAGGGTTGTCTTTAGGGGAAAGAATTCATCATATACTTGGGGAACATATTAGTGAACACCAAGTCTCTTCTTAATACTAAAAAGGGGAAAGATTAAAAAAAATTTAAAAATACAAGCATAATAAATAATAATATTAATAGGGGTTCATGAAGTGTTCACGTATCATTATATTGTATATTTTCGTCTCCTTGTTATCGTTTTTTCTTTTACTAGAAGAAACTTACTTCATTTCAATAGTTGGGTACTGTATCAAAAGTATGGAGATGCTAGCTTATGAGCAATTATGTTTCCTTGTCTCCCTGTGAACTCAACTTTGAAGATTGGTTTAGAACTATAAGACCTCTGCATGTGAGCAACGATGGCACCAAATTTGAAAACATTTGTATCGATAGAACTAGTCAAATGAGTAGGATTTATTAAGAATCATTTATTTTGAAGTCTGGCCTGAACTAAATTAATTTATTTTATTTAATTTTTATAAATAAAATTTAAAAAATAATAGATTAAGTAGATTTCTGATTTTAGTCCAAGAAATTAGTGTCCTGGCCTCCTGGGTAGAGGATATTTTGAACTGCTAACTTGCAATCTAGTTCAAATATTTATCAGTTCAATCTTAGCTCAAGTGCCTATTGTATAGCAATCAACAAAGACATAACTTCCCCACATCAACTAATAGTTGTGGCGCAAAATTGGCTATAGTCATTCGTTAAACACATCTCAAAGCCCGTCAAATTATCTTCACTAAAAAAAAAACAGCATTGGTTTATTTATTAACTTTGACATCTAATATTTAATATAAGTATTGAGTTTGTTGGTGCAATTAACGTTGCGATTGGTTTTTAAAATCATAAAATTTGACTTCGAATTTTGGCTTAATAAAAAAATAATGTTAAGAGGGATAATTTTAAGACACTCAAGATCTCGAAAGATACTACTTTTTGAAAAAATCAGTAGATGTTCATGTCAATATAATAGTATAAAAAAATAGAAGTATTGATATAACATTACACAATTGAGTCATAAAATAAAAGTGATAAAAACAATCTAATTATCATTTGATAAAATTTACAAAAATTTAACAACATTATTAAAATGTTATAAAATACCTCTTTGATAATTTGTAACATTTTAAAAAATGTTATCATTAATATTTAAAATGTTATTAAAAGTATTTAACAACATAGATTTTATCTTACATTTGATAAAATATTGCAAAGTTTATTAACAATATTATTTTTCTAATATTGTTACAAATATATTTTGTCATAGTATATGAAATAAGTTAATGTGAGAATATAAAAAAAGTGTTGCATCAATGTTCGATATTAAATATTAGAAGTCAAATTAATTAATAAAACAAAATTATACAACTAAATTAATGAGATAAAGTCAGAATAAAATAAAAATACCAAACTTATCAAGTGACTGAAAGTTGAGATAAAAAGGAAGTAAAAGGCAAGCTTTAGAGTTAGCATCAAATCACATCCAAAAGGGTTGCCAAGCAATGGAACTTGTTGAAACAGCAACATGATTTCACCAAATGGCTATGTGAAAAAAACTTTAGTTCCTCCCTATTGGCTACTTTTGGATGTGGTCCGAGATTTCCGAAAGCTACTTTCACTTGCCCTCATTAGTAGATCACTTTAACTCTTTGGCAAAATATTTGTAAGATTTTCTAATTAAAGTTTTTTTAATAACACGTCTAATTTTTTGTTAGAAAGTTTAGTGTAGTTATCCTTTTCTTCATGATTCAGTTTGAGAGAAAAAAATATTACCTAAAATATAATAATGGTCCCTCATTTTTATTTAATTATAATTTCAATTTGCCTTCTTAGATTTTAAATTTTTCATTCTAATCCTTAAAGTATTTTTATTAAACTAATTGATTATTTCATAAAGACAATTGCATTAAAACTGTTAATTTTAGTTACCAAGTTGATAAGATTAGTGTAATAAACTAATGCGAGGATCAACTTGGTCTAGTAAAGACTTTTTAAGAGAACAAAGTAAAACTATTAAACATATAAATTCATTTTAAAAAAATAAAATAATGGATTTAGGATTTAGATGACATATAAATTTGTTGGAGACGCGGTGAAAACAATTCCTAAAATAAAATACTTGAACGCGTAAGTGAGTCATGAAGTAAATTGGGTTAGATGACAAAGATTAAATTTGTTTATATGGTATGGTATAGAGAGTAAACTTAACCCATTGACAACCAAATGCATGTATTTTATCTATAAATGTCAAAATCAATATCACGCGCTACACAAGGGATTTAAGTCGATTCTTTCACTCAAAGTCTCAAACCGATACATTTTTCTCCCTTTTGCAAAATTAAATAGTGCTCTAATACCCATTATACAAAAAAAAATAAATAAATGGTACCTATTAAAAACTTTTATTTTTTTAGTTATTCACATATGTCATCTAGTGAAACAATCATATTTCTACTATACCCAATCTATTAGTCACCAATTAATTAGTCTATTTAAAAAATAAGTTTGAAATTCAATTAATATGTTAATTTTTGTAATAGAATTATTATCAGATTTATCATCGACTCGTGTAATATACTGGACGTGAGTGAATGGTTAAATCAATTGGCCCCTTATTAAATTACATACAGTGAAAGATATTATTAAAGGTAACACTTTCGGAACCAAGTTATGGAAGGGAGAAAATTAAGTTTTTGGCAATTCTTCTCGTGAAACCTACTACCTAAATTTTGATGGAGATAAAATGGGCCAAGCCTACAAAGTAATTCACTCGTATGTACATGTCTATAAGTTTTGATTGTTATAATAAATAAATAAAGATAATGTGTTAACTATGAGAGCAAGCTACAGATCATATAATGTGTTAACTATGAGATAGCTAACCTACTAATAACGTGTTGGAGAAAGCTGGCATGTTTGTGTATTTAATTAATTTATATTCACATATGTTGCTTCTGCATGCATGTGTTTAAGTTTAAGTGATTATTTTTGGAAGAGTTAATTTTAATACTTTAAAAAACCAATATATGATTTTTTTGTACATTTTTATTACTTTCATATAATTCATTTTTAACGATATATCTAATGCATTTCAGAAACCAAATTTTAGGATATAAATAAATTATCCAAGAATATATTTTAAAAATTAATTTCTAAAATGATATTTAAAAAAATTCATAATAAGCTTGTGTTTGATAGAGAGGAATGAAATAGGTGAGAAATAGAGTAGAGAAAAATAAAAAGTGAAAAAAAAAATTGTAATAAATAAAGTAGAAATTTAATTGTTTTGTTGAAGAAATAAAACACATGGCATGATTAATATACAACCACTAACTTTGCCTCTCATACAAGTTGGCTAAATGTTTGTAAAAATTAATTTTAAATGAAATTAATTTTAGTTACAATTCGTATATTTAAATGTTTGTATTTAAAGAAAAATTGAATAATAGAATTCAATATAAAAAGTTTAGTTTAATAATAAAAAAAAATACCTAAAGCTACTTTAACTCTATTCATTTTTAATTCAGAATCAAATCTTTAATGTAAAACCAAATATGGAACCAATGACTAATTCAGTTAGTTGAAATTGTGTTTATCTCGTCTTCAAAAAAGAAAGAGTTTGGGAACGACAAATATGAGATTCTTTTTCTTCTTCACTTAATTAACTCCTTTGGCTTGCAAAATAGTTTTTTAGACAAAAAATTGAGGTGTTGCATTCGTAAATGGAAAAAAAATAATAGATTTAAATAATTTTATGGCTCGTTATGCGTGAGATCATTTTATTAAAAATTCGACCTTAAATTTTAAATTAACAATTGTAATTAAATACTTATTTTTTAAAATAATTCATTCATTTTAAAGATGCAAAATTTATTTTTTTCATCTATTGAAATCGAATTTATATTAGAGAGTCTATAAAAGCTCAATGTAATCTACTCAACTAACTCATTAAGAATTCCTTAATAAAAATATAATTTAATTGCATAAAAAAAGCCTTACTTAATCAAAAGTGCAATTAACCTATTACCTATATAGGATAATGCTATAAATAAAATACTATCAATACTATAAATTAAATAAGCCAAATGGGTTAGAGGCTTGTGATTCAAGTTACACCTCCACCTTTTATAGGATAATGGATCAAAAAGTTCTTAATTAAAAAAATTAGAAGACTGAATTTACCTAATTAAAAATAGAAAAAAGTATGAATTGAAAATTGTATAAAAACTAAAAGAACACGAAAGTTCAAACAAAAAGTATGAATTCCATGGGCCTTTTATAAAGGGACAAGAAAATTATTTGGCTCATGATATATACACCTCATTTTTTCTACAAGTATACCTCCTTTATTTTTTTTTAAAAATTATTAAATATTGTAAACTTTTTTTTTAATTTTTTAATTTTACACCTCCAACTTTTAATTTGTTGCTTTTTTCTTCTTTTTCACATACTTTTTTTTTTCTCTTTTAGTTTTCACATGCTACCAAAATAGATGTAGTGAAAGAAAGGTAAGGGGGTGCATGTAAAAATTGAAAAAAGGAGGAAAAATATGTGAAAAAAAATACTAAATTAAATATTGTGGATGTAAAATTAAAAATTAAAAATTAAAAATTAAAAAATTAAGAATATTTTAAAATTTTAATTATCTTTTTTTTAAAAAAAGAAGGTGTACTTATAGAAAAAAGGAGGTGCATATATCATGAACCAAATTATTTCAGGCAGGAAGCCCCATGAAGGGACCAGAAGCCCAATCCATGTGTGTCTCTTCGTATAGTGTAGTCCTCCTCCCATGTCTTGTACATAACAACATTGAATGACTGGACCAAGAGAAGCCAATAATTTTGCTTCATCGGAATTTCTAACAGTAATTCATTCTACAGTTGAGATCAAGAAAAGATAACTTACCTTGTCAAGACTAATATTTATGTTCAAGATTCAATTTATGGTGTAGTTAATTTTTTTCTGGCTATCATGGTTAA